CTAGATATAGGGACTGTAAGATAATTCCTAGTATTCCTACAACACATATAGGAGTGTCATCTATTAGGAGTCCATACTTTGTCCAAAGAATAGAGCTGAAAAAAAAAATTTTACATACATTTAGGGTTAACTCTCCCTCAACCCTTTAAGACCTATATCGGCATATAGTCAAATTCTCTAAACTGAACATTTCCTAAAAGAAGTAGTTGGGAGAATATAATAAAAAAATCAAAGCATTTTCCTGTAGGTTATCATTTCATCAATGCTTGTATTAACCTTTCGAGTTGAATATGTATTATAAAAAGGAGGAAATTGAATTTTATCATTCTTGGGACTGTACAATAATCACCTAACTCATCCCCTGTCATCTCTGTTTGGATCATAGACGGAGAACAGAATGCATGAAGCATGACCAAAGGGAAAAGGAGGGGTGATAGGAACAAGCTAGGAAAACCCCTGGTGCTACCATTGATCACACTCAGCTTTCTTTTTTTATAGTATAATTTTAAACAGAATCTCAAAAGTGAGCTTTTAGTAACAAGTGAAGTAATAGATTTTTCAAGCAAGGCTCTCTGGCCTTCTTTCATGTACACCTGTACTCTTTCAGTTCTATGTCGCTGTTGCAAGAATATTATTTAGATTTGGGGGAGGGGGGGGGGGAGAGCTGAAGAGAAACACTTTACCTCAGACAGGTTGTCAAGAATGGAAAGAAAGTTATATTCCTGGTACCTCCTTGTCTTCTTATTTTTAAGCAAACTTGTCTGAAAGGAAAAAAATAATATAATTTATTAACACTCAAATTTATTGGCCAGTTTCAAGTTGATTTCACTCTATCTTGGCTTGAAGTTGAGATTTGCTGAGATATGCACAGATAAAATTTCATTTGCTATTTATAATGTCCAGTCATAAAAGTAAGATGGCATCAAGACTTTATAGTTTCTTTAGCCATTTTTCAATTTTTTGTTAATTTCAAATCTCAAGGTTACTTTTCGCTTTCTCTCCTCTCCCTTTTCTTTTTCGTTTTTGTTGTCTCATTTTTTTTTCTTATGTTGGGCATTTAGCTAGTAGGCTTCATTTTGGTGGGAAAAGTTTTTAAGAAAGCTTTTAGGATCTTAGGATTAGATGAAAGGAAAGGTAGGTTGGTGGTGGAACAAGATTTTCATGGAAATTTTCAGGAGGCATTTGACAGTAGTCTGAATTGCAAAACCATTTGTTTTCAAATCATTTGTTTTTTCATTTTTTGTCCCTGTCTGAAATTGACTTTTGAATTTGTGATTGTTCTTTATGTCATTTGTGGCCACTTCATCTTATGTCATTGTTTCAAGGCCTGATGTCGCTTGTCGGAATCTTACCTTAACAGAGCCTCAATTGTATGACAAAAGGATGAAAGTAAACCACAACAAGTATTTTGTGACACTATGGTTGTATTGGACAGAAGAGTATTACAGCCAAACACGGAAAACTGTGTGAACACCAGAAATATTTCTGGAATGTTATTGTGTTGCAAGAAATAAGCCAATTGCGTGTGAGAAAGTAAACTGCAAGCAAGAACATTAATTAGTTTGTGGTTTTGTGGCCAGCATTTTTTGTTTTGTTCATGAACATCATTTAAATCAGATCTTCATATCTGTCTTTCATTATTCCAAAAATGCTTTCACAAGCATTGAAAATTGTCTTGAGATGGGCAATCACAAATCATGAATAAATAAACAATTAAATAATGTTTCAAGAGAAAAAGATAGCCCCAATGATGTTTTACAATCGGCCACTTGCACTAAGAGGTCACATGACCAATGCTTCCTTTAAACAATGACTTGGAATCCTGCTGATGACAAAAATTGACAGAGCACATAAAAATTATCTTACACCCAAAATTTAAGAGGAAACACATTTAAGGAGATATTTTATGGCACTTTTATTTTTCAACAAAGTAGTATGATTTGTATTGGCCGCCATGTTGGAGGGCATACTCTTGCCCTCCAACATGGTGGCCAAAACAACTTTTTGCTTGTATCTTGTTCAACGTTTGATAGTTAGGGAGCATTCATAATTTATCTAGAGGGTGGGCTATGATGATTTCCTTATTTTTTCCTTTCATTTTTTGGAAGCCCCCCCTGATAATCTCAGGGTTTTTTTTCTGAGCCCCCCTCAAGAGATGATGATTTATCAAAGGAAAATATCATAGCCCCCCCCCCC